TACTTGGTCCTCAAAATGAGGAAACTGCCCCTTTCTAACTTGTCATATGTAGGGAGCACCGCCAGATGTTTTTTTTGCCTTTATGAACTGGGAAGGACAGGAACCTGCCGACCTGTGTTTTTTTTGCCCGTGCTGAACTACAGGTGTGACACAGGTGTAACATGACAAATTGCCAAATTTGGTGAACTGAACATTTTGCAAAAAGCCGTCAGCCCACAATCTGTGGCTAAGCCCACGAGTAAGTTGTGGACATTTTTTAGCCCAGCCATGGGCACAAAGTTGTAAATTTTTTTGAGGCGTCGAGGGCAGTGCTGGTTTCCGAAAGCTGAATGGCAGCTGCCTGCGGTTGCCTGGCGCTGCCAGCCTTTTCTCGGCAGGCACCCTGAGCCCGAAAGCTGAACGGCTGCAGCATGTGGCTTGCCTGACGCCAGTGGCACCACCTTTCCTCGACAGGCACTCTGTGCCTTTTCATGGATCCCTACTAGAACTTTTTCCAGCTATTTTGTCGAGACGCGCCGGGTACGCGGGGGCCAAGTGGGGGAGGGACGCCGTTGAGAAATCGAATCGGTGGCCCGTTTTCCCAGCAATTTTGCCGAGACGCGTCCGGTAATGAGGGGGACAAGTGGGGGAGGGCGGCCGTCGATAAATCGAATCAGCGGCCCGCTTATTGTTTCGGCTGTCCGACAGGCGACATAATACGGGAAAGGTACTGGTGGTTTAACTGGTGGAGCCTACTGGAAGGCTGGACCAATAACTGGTGGTTCGTACCACCACTGCTCCCAACGCTACTTTAACAAGACGGCAGATTTTTTCCAAGCCTGACGGGGGGGCAACATACATCCCCTTTAGGAGTAGTGGTAGTGAGAGGTGAAATTGAGAGAACAAAATAGCTTATAGCTTTTTAAGAGGGGGGAAAATAAATAAATCGATATGTTGCTATCAGTAGCCACATGGAGAAAAGAATGTGCTCTTTCGCTGCCAACATTTTTGTATTCTCATGCAGAAACTGTTGTTTTGTTTCAACAAAGTTTATCATTTTTTTCTCACAAATATCTGCAATCAGTCTAAGGCCCTGATTTTTTCAGATTTGTTTGTCAAATACTAGTCTGACCGCGAGAAACCGCCAACACCGGTGCTCTCAATAGTTTGCAACAAGCTGCTGACATGCCGCAGGCAACCCTATCAGCCCACACTGTGGCCGCCGATGGGGCGCAAAGTTGTGCTTTTTTTTTTTTTTTTTTTTTTTCCCAATGTTGGGGACAATGCTGATGTAAACCACCAGTACTTGGCCCAGCTATCGGCCGCGTCGCTTCCCCGCCAACGCCCCGCCGCATTTGGGCTTCGGCCTACCGCACCACATTGGCTGGAGGCCGCAGCCAAAACGAAAACAAAAAAGTGCCGCGACACTTCGGTAAAACTTAGTGCGCAGGGAAGGCTCGGCTTCGATAGCTGGGCCAAGTACTGGTGGTTTTAAGCATCATATGTGTGTATACTATGTAGCATTCAGCCACAAGGTGCATTCGAGAACCAACGATTGACTCTTGGTTCTTACCCATCCTGCGGCAACTGCACCCTTCGGCACTGTTGACGACTGTCACATTCCTGTAGGCTAAACCAGGCTCACATGCTGCAGTTCTTAAAAAAAACAAGTGGACCCGCCGCAGTGAAGGACGATGACCCAAAAAAATTTGGGAAACACTGCAGCCATCAGTTGGACACCATCTCTGCAAATGTACCCCTACCGGACGCTGCCCAACTTTGCAAAATGGCCCGGCAGTTGCCAAGTTTTCGTAGGTGCAATTGCAAAAGGCCAAGTGAATTTGCACACCTGCTCTGACAGGGGCATAAGACAAACATGTCAGCCCAAAAGGCCATTCCATTGTGCCCATATCGTTTAGGGACATTTTCACATATATCTCAACTTATGAGGGTATTTGGCATATTACCAGCCCCCCCCGCCAAAAAGGAGACTCTCTCTCTCTCTCTCTCTCTCTCTCTCTCTCTCTCTCTCTCTCTCTCTCTCTCTCTCACACACACACACACACACACACACAC